GATATGTAAAGTTCCAATTATGCGGTACAGATACAGAGATACACTTTTCCATTGTATATGAGACTATCTCAGACCGCCTCAGCATCAATGGGTGTCATAATTAAAAATTATAAATGCCTAGGGGCGCCTGGCTGGCTTAGTCGATAAAGCATGAGACTCTTGATCACAAGGTTGTGATTTCAAGCCCTGTGTGGGATGTAGAGATTACTTAAAAATAAGATCTTTCAAAAAAAATTCTTCTTTAATGTTTACTTAGTTTTGAGAGCGAGAGACAGAAACAGAGTGTGAGCAGGGGAGGGGCAGAGAGAGAGGGAGACACAGAATCAGAAGCAGGCTCCAGGCTCTGAGCTGTCAGCACACAGCCTGAAGCAGGGCTTGAACCCACGAACCGTGAGATCATGACCGAGCCAAAGTCAGACGCTCGATCGACTGAGCCACCCAGGTGCCCCAAAAATAAAACCTTAAAAAAAAATTACTGATGTCCCAAGTAAACAAATTGGGCCTAACATGCAGGAGCCTGGCTTGGCTGAGGGCAAAGATAGCAGACAGTGAGTGTGGTGTGATGGAGAGAACACCATACTAGAATTACGAAATAAAGGTTCGAGTGCCAGTGAGGCATTTTTAGCTGGGTGAACAAGTTACTTCACCTTTCCTGTCCTCAATTCCCTCTTTACAAAACAAGGCTATGTATTAGATCAGTGCTCAAGTTCCTCTTTAGCTCTAAGACTCAGTGATTCCATGGAAGGATGAAAGCCAAGAGGATGGCTGGTAGGATCAAAGTGGACATAAAGATATGAGGTCGGGACTGGGGGGGACTAAGAATGTGACCGTGAAGGGAAAACTATGGGTTAATCAGATAAAGGATTAAGTCAAACAAGTCACACATTACCCATAAGGCTGTAGACTGGGAAGATGAGCTGGGCGGAATGCCTAGGAAAAGACTAGTTCAGGAAAATTCTAAAGGGCCAGGGCCCAAAGGATGGTTTATCTTTGGACATGCAATGCCAGCCAGAAAAACCTTGTTCTGGGCACCAGGGAGTGGAAAGGAGGCATCTGGTGAGCTGAGAGAGAGCACAGAACTCCCAAATCAAACTAAAAGCTAGATTCTGTGGGTATAGTGTATAGCGACACCCTACTCACAGCAGAAGCTAAGAGCTCAGACTGCGAGGATGGGTTTGAATCATGGTTCCATGACTTAGTAGCCTTAGGACCTTAGGCAAGTGACATAATGTCACTGGCCCTTGGTGTCTCCATCCTTAAAACGGGCATACAACCAGAACTTCCCTCACAGGGATAATGTAAAGATTAAATGAAGCAATATATGGAAAGCCCTTAGAGCGGGGCCTGGCATCTGGTAAGTACTAAATAAGTGTCAGCTTATTTATTTTCTGCTGCAGAGTGGGATGCTGACGTGAGTCACTATGGAGTCCCTCCATTCTTCTCATCAAGAGAATTCAGGAGCAGGGTTTCCTACCGAAGGCTGAAACCTAGAAAAAGAACCCCACCTCTGCTGCCTCTTATTCCCTGGGTGGAGTCAAGAGGAGAAACTACCAGAGGTCAGGTATTCACCATTGCTCCCAGTGCCCTCGGTCATTCCCAAGGCGCCACTGCAAGGAGTGTCAGATGATCCAGGGGCCTTTGACAGGCCAGCCCTTAGGAAACAATATGCTTGAGGGCTTTCCTTTAGGGAGCTGAATCTGCCAGGCCATGTTCCCTCTACATTTACTTCAAAGGTACTGCTAAGTAATTCTAACTAAAAGGCAGTGGTTCATTGGTACCATGATATCAGGAAGGATAATTTATTTTTTTTTTCCTTTTCTAGCCCTCTTACAGGCCCAGCAGTTCCTATTTCTTGTACCTAATTCTCCTCCATATGTTTCTATTTATCCCTTATATTATTATGTATTCTTCAGTTTCCTTCCAAATGCTATGCAAAATGCTATTAGTTGTACATGCCCACAGCTTCCCAGAATGATCACACACAAGAATATATGGTGCATCAATATCCACACTGGTAAGTAAAAGCAGCACTTTAAAATTTTTTTTTTTTTTCAACATTTATTTATTTTTGGGACAGAGAGAGACAGAGCATGAACGGGGGAGGGGCAGAGAGAGAGGGAGACACAGAATCGGAAACAGGCTCCAGGCTCTGAGCCATCAGCCCAGAGCCTGACACGGGGCTCGAACTCAGGGACCGCGAGATCGTGACCTGGCTGAAGTCGGACGCTCAACCGACTGCGCCACCCAGGCGCCCCAAAAGCAGCACTTTAATAGTCAACAACATTAAAGAGCTAAAAACCACACCCTTCCAATGCTCTCTCTTTACAACTGAGCTCCAAGAATTCAGTTTCCACCTGCAAGGCAAAATACTCATTTGGAGTGAACCCAATATTTAGGCTTATTGACAAGACACGAAGGTTTCTTGAATTATTAAGACTCTGATTTAGAGAATGAGCAATAGTGGTCCATCAACTGTCACTTCCTAACTCAATAGCCTAAGGAAATTTCCCTTACAGGACAGGGAGAAACAGAGTAACTGCCATCAATTTGGTCCTAAAAACTGCTGACTTGATCTCTGTGTGCCAAAGGGCAGAAGATGCCTTTAGGGAGGCAGTGAGAGGAAGACAGGAAAGGAGGCTGATGCATTGATTCGTGTGAGGAAGCAGCATCAGGCTGGCCTGACAAGTTTCTCTGGGTCTTTCCCCCATGTGCTCTGGACCTTTCTGACAGAGGAGTTGGAAACATCACTTTTTTTTTTTTTTTTTTTTTTTTTTTTTTTTTAAGCTTTGTTGATGACATTTCAAAAATACAAGGAAGTTATATCTGGAATTAAAAACTCTATACATATGAGCTAACTAAAAAAAAAAAAAAAACAAAACCAAAAAAACCTCACAAGGCTTTTTGCTTTACAATGTTCCCTTCCTCTGATTTTAGCATAATTTTGAAAATCTTTCCATAATTTCCTCAAGTGTACAAAAATAGCTTTCAAAGGAGACTCAATACAAGGGATTTTTATGACTGATTAGATCTTGGCTTAAAGAGTGACATTATAGAGGTGCCCGGATGGTTCAGTTGGTTAAGCACCTGACTCTTGATTTGGGCTCAGGTCCTGATCTCATGGTCGAGGGATGAAGCCCCATGTCAGGCTTTGCACTGGGCTTGGAGCCTGCTTAAGATTTTCTCTCTCTATCCGTCCCCAGCTTGAGCTCCCTTCCCCGCTCTCTCTCATACTCTCAAAAAAAAAAAAAAAAAAAAAAGTTAAAAAAGAGAAAAGAGTAACATTATAAAGTGTAGCTTCCACTAGGAAATTTTTTCTGAACACAACACTGAGGAGAAAGCATGCTTCCTAAACAGTTTAGATTCCAGTTATGTTGGAATCTAAAGGTTTCAGAACAGTTACACAAAAACTCCCATAATACACTTGTGAAATTAATTTCCATATTCCTTTATCTGGGCAAATAAGATGAATACCACCAAAATAATAAAATGCAGGGCACCTGGGTGGCTCAGCTGGTTAAGCACCTGACTCTTGACTTTGGCTCAGGTCATAATCTCACAGTTCATGAGTTTGAGCCCCACATCAGGCTCCGCACTCACAGCGTAGAGCCTGCTTGGGATTCTTTCTCTCCCCCTCTCTCTACATCTCCTCAGCTCAAGGTCTCTCTCAAAATAAATAAACTTTAAAAAATAAAATAAAATAAAATGCCCTCTGTTCTTTCTCAAAAAGCAAATTTCAGGGGCACCTGGGTGGCTCAGTCAGTTAAACGTCCAACTTCAGCTCAGGTCATGATCTCGATGTTCATGGATTCAAGTCCTGCATTGGGCTCTGTGCTGACAGCTCGGAGCCTGGAGCCTGCTTCAGATTCTGTGTCTCCCTCTCTCCCTGCCCCTCCCCCACTCGTACTCTGTCTCTCAAAAATAAACATTAAAAAAAAAAGGTAAATTTCAAGTCTTATCACACGTTACAATCTTCGCAAAAGGAAACTCCTCAAATGGTATGTCAGACCAGAAATTCCTGTGCTCCCACTGATACACTGTTACTAAATTTAAATGTTTCTTAAATTCAACTTATTGGCAAAACTGCCCACTTAGGAGCACTAAGCATACTGTGAGGCAGAGAAAACACTATACTGAAAGAGTAAGACAAAGTGGGACAAAAACCCAGCCCAACAGGCTAAGGACTATTCGAGGATCTGGTTAAAAGCAAGCTGGACTCAGATGTTTTCAATAAATCAATAGCTATTTATTAAAATATCTATTATGGATAGGGATCACAGGAGAGAAAAGGGTAGAATAAGATACATTGAAATTTTCCTTATAAACAAAAATACTCATCTCCACCATGTGTGCTTTGGAATCAGGGGGTTTGAATTTGGTTCCCCCAGGAGTGTTTGTCTGGCAAATTTCTTAATCTCTCTGAGCCTCAGTTCCTCAATCTGCAAGACAGGGACAACAAAACAAAAACAAAAAAACAAAACCCAAAAAAACCCCTATCAAATAGAGTTTTAGCGGGGACTGAATTAAATAAGACAAAATTGAGGGGTGTCTGGGTGGCTCAGGTCAGCTGAGTGTCCGACTTCAGTGCAGGTCATGATCTCACAGTTTGTGAGTTCAAGCCCCGCATTGGGCTCTGTGCTGACAGTTCAGAAGCTGGAGCCTGCTTTGGATTCTCTGTCTTTCTGTGTCTGTCTGTCTGTCTGCCTGTCTCTCTCTCTCTCCCCCTCCCCCGCTCAAGCTCATTCTCTCTCTTTCAAAAATAAAAACAAAAAAAATTTTTTTAAAGACAAAAGTGGGAAAGTGTCTCTCATTAGATGTCAGTACATGTTATTTCCTTTCCCACCATACACTGTCAAGAACACCGTGTAAGTAGTAAAATGCAGGATTCTACCTGGAAAGGGTCTGTCTTCATCACCCCCATGCAGAGGAACTCCCTTATTTTCTGGCATATACTTCTTGGTAATGGGCAAGGACATCAGCCGAATGTGATGGATGAGTGAGCGCCAGGTGTGAGCTCCAGAAAGCACCGGTTCAGGTGGTAATGGGCTGAAAGGTTGAATCACAAAGTAGGCAGTGAGCAAGATTAATCCCAGGGTTACAAGGACCTATAAGGAAAGACAGGAAAAGGATTAATAATTGTCCCAGCAAACAAAATACTTTAATGCCAAGAAAAAAAAGAAAAAAAACAAACCAAAAACCCCAGCCTCTTCCATTATTTTCACTGTGCCTTAGGAACTAATCCATTTTCATAAACAAGTCATTTACGTTCATTTTTTTAACCTTTTATGGTTTCATTTTTTAAATTTATTTTATTTATATTTTATTTTTTTAAATATAATTTATTGCCAAATTGGCTACATTCACTCCTGAATGAAATACATTTAAAGTTTGAGAACTATGAGAACTGCAAGGCTCACCAACCTTCTTCTTCCTTTTGTTTTTTTCTTTTTTAAGTAGGCTCTATGCCCAGAGTGGGACCTGAACTCACGACCCGGAGATCAAGAGTTGCATGCTCCACCAACTGAGCCACTCAGCACCAGGCTTCTATGGGGCTATGTCCTCCATTAAAAAGTATACACAAATACAGTTTAATTATAAATATATAGCTTTCATCATGGATATTTAACAAAATGGGTCAAATTTCCTAGTAACTCATGGTAACAAGAGCAAAGGCCAACTTATTCATAGGAAAACTAAGGTTAGATGGTAGAAGCAGTCAACAGTAAAATTTGGGGAGAAAGTTGAAGAGTTTGTGCTCTGTTTAAGGAATCTCCAAGTCAAAACACATTTTTACCTTATACACGGCTATAAGGAGAGGATACTGGGGTGGTCCCCTCTGAGGTTCATTCTTTTCCAGCAGCTGTCTGATAAATTTTTCAATTGCCTTCTCTGACATGCCACATTGATGGCCTGTCTGTCTCACCAAATCAACAGTCTCTGAAAGTTTGTCATAAATGCTGAGCTCATTGGCAGCAAGATCCATGTCTTCCAGTACAAAATCCCTGAGAGAAAGAAAGTAAATGTAAAAAGAAAGATGGTTTCTTTAAAATACCTTCTTCCTCAAAGTTACTTCCTTTATTTTTTTTTAAATTTTTTAATGTTTTATTTATTTTTGAGAGAGAGAGAGAAAGAGCAAGCAAGCAAGCAGGTGAGGGGCAGAGAGAGAGGGAGACACAGAATCCGAAGCAGGCTCCAGACTCTGAGCCGTCAGCACAGAGCCCAACGTGGGGCTCGAACTCACAAACTGTGAGATCGTGACCTGAGCTGAAGTCAGACACTTAACCAAAGCTGAGCCACTCAGGCACCCCTCAAAGTTACTTCACTTAGAACAGAGCTTCATGGGGAAGGACCAGCTTCCTGTTTTCCCCAATCCACTGCAAGCCAATGCTTTTGTAGAACATAACGAACGTCTAGATTAGGTCAAGTTAGTACTACACAGCTTTTAAGTGTTCCTTAATTGTGGGCTAGTAACACAGTTTACTGGTTCACAGACACTTTGAGGAGCGCTAGTCTACAGCACAATAAATCCCTAATGGGACTCTGAAACACTAGTGCCAACCAAAAGGATTATTGAAACCAATCACAGGAGGTCTGCTACTGGTAATTTACTTAAAAAGAAATGCAATATGGAGTGTTGTTGATCCATTATTTCTTTGCATTTGTATTAGATAAGCCTTTTAGCAACACAGGAGGAACTAAGCACTGCAAGATTTACTATGGGGAACGTACTGACACGTTTTGCTACTGGCAGAGCAAGAATTTCAGGCAACACAAAAACCACGGCACTGGGACTGCTCAGACCTTGCAGGCTAGAGTCCTCATACTTTTCTGCAAATACAGTTTTAGACAATAAAGAGCATTTTACTTGTATTTCATATACTTGAAAGACCTAAGATCTTTAATTTCAAAATTCAATTTGTTCTCATAGTTACTTTAAAGCCAAACTGTTTCACAGCGGCCACAGAAGAAAAGGTAGAAACTAAAGTGGCAGAGTAGAATACTCTCTTGTAACATGCAATCAAATCGTTCTTTTTAAAAAATGCTTGTGTTGTAAGACAACATCTTCTGTCACTTACCAAAGGAAAAACAGTGCTTGGGATTTATGCTCTTTTATTGGTCTCTTTTTCCCTTACATGTAGAAGTCGTCTTAGTTCATATATGTCACGCCCAAAGTGCTTCTAACCCCAGAAAGCACTGACGTGGAACAACTCTATTTTTTCAGTAAGGAGATGCTGCCACCTGTAGAGCCAAGGACAACGGTCTTGCAGCTCTTGCAGCTCCGTGGAGAAAAGCAAGCACCTCAGCCTATCTCCCCTTCCAGCAGCACCTCCTGATACTGACGGTTTGGTCCTTGGTAGGACTATTAACCCTTTAGTTCACTAGCTCTTAAGTGTGCCTCCACACTGGAGTCACCAGAATTTTTAATGAATGCTCATACCAGGGCCTCAACCCAAACCAATGAAATAAAACAGTATTGGATTTCCAATGGTGAATTAACAGGCAGGTAATCTAGACTGAGGAATTGGTTGGGGAGGGGCGGGAACCCCCACACGCTAAAAGGCTAAATCCCTTCCCCAAACTCTTTGCTCTTGCTCAGACTGTGTTTTTCCTAGGCCACATAGGCTTTCATTTCAAGGTTCAGATAAAAGGATGGTGTAAACTCTATTTAAAAATGTGTATTTTCAACAAATGGTGCTGGGACAACTAGATATCCACATGCAAAAGAATGAAGTAGGACCCTTCCTTCTACCATACACAAAAATTAACTCAACATGTATCAAACACGTAAGAGCTAAAACTATAAACTCTTGGAAGAAAACACAGGGGAAAAAGTCTTCATGACCCTCCATTAGGCAATGGCTTCTGAGATACGGCGCCAAAAGCAAGAGCAGAAAAAGAAAAAATAAATTGGACATTAAAAATTAACAATTTTTGTGCTACAAATGGTAACTTTTAGGAAAGTGAAATGACAACCCATAGAATGGGGGAAAATATACGCAAACTCTATTTCTGATAAGAGTTCTAGTCCCACGTCGGGCTACGCGCTGACAGTGCAGAGCCTGCTTGGGATTCTGTCTCTCCCTCTCTCTCTACCCCTCCCGTGCTCGCTCTCTCTTGCACTTTCAAAATAAATAAATAAACTTAAAAAAAAAGTCAGATAATAAGTTGGGAGATATTGAGCATCTGGAACTCCTGTACACTGCTGGTGGGAATATAAAATGGTGCAGCTGCTTTGGAAAACAGCTGGACAGTTTCTCAAAAACTTTCTGTACAAAAATTTGTGCATGGATATCCAAGCATTATTCATAATAGCTCAAAAATAAAGCGATCCAAATGTCCATGAACTACTAAATTGGTGGATAAAATGTAGTATATCCATACAATAGAATATGATTGAATAAAAAGGAATAAAGTATGGATACCAACAACATAGGTGAACCTTGAAAACCTTAAGCTAAGTGGGAGACAGTCAAAAAAGATGACATGTTGTAAGACTGTATTTTTTTAAAACATTTTTTTTAATTTTTTTTTCAACGTTTATTCATTTTTGGGACAGAGAGAGACAGAGCATGAACGGGGGAGGGGCAGAGAGACAGGGAGACACAGAATCGGAAACAGGCTCCAGGCTCTGAGCCATCAGCCCAGAGCCTGACGCGGGGCTCGAACTCACGGAGCGCGAGATCGTGACCTGGCTGAAGTCGGACGCTTAACCGACTGCGCCACCCAGGCGCCCCAAGACTGTATTAATAAAATGCAAAAAGTTAATAATAGAGGCAATCTATAGACAGGAAGTAGATTAATTAGTGGTTATGCAGACACAGAGTGGAGAAGAATGGGAACTGACTGTCGGTAGATCCAAGGGTTTCTTTCTGGAGTGGCAGAAATGTTCAAAACTTAAATTGCGGTGATAGTTGCACAACTTTGTGAACATACTAAAAAACCCTGAATTGTACATTTCAAACAGGTGGATTTTATGGCATATAAATTAAATTTCAGTAAAGATGTTTTTAAAACGTGTACTTATAGGACCTATAGCTCAGGGGTTAGAGCACTGGTCTTGTAAAATGTATATTTATAGAATTTGAACTTACCCCTGCTATGGCATTTATTAAACTATACTGTTATGATTTTTGGCTAAGTCACTTGGTCTATTTCCTCACCTAAAAAAATAAAGGGACTGAACTAAGAGGTTTTCGAAGTCCCCTCTAGCTCTAAAATTTTAAGGGTATTGGAAGGCTTTGGGAAGTAGAAAAACTTCAATTCATTAGAAACTAAAGACTTCTGTCCAATTACTTCCAGTTGCGCCATCCTAAATGCAGGCACCGTGCTAAGCACACAAGAAACGTGATCTTAGTAAATCATCACAGCAATCCCAAAAGGTAGGTGCGATTTTTTTTTATTAAGTTTTTAATTTTAATTCCAGTATAGTTAACATACAGTATTCTATTAATTTCAGGTATACAATATAGTGATTCAACAATTCTGTACATTACCCAGTGCTCATCATGGTAAGTGGACTCTTAATCTCCTTTACCTATTTCACCCATTCCCCCCACTTCCACCAACCTCCCCTTGGGCAACCACCAGTTTGTTCTCTATAGTTAAGAGTCTTTTTTTTTGGTTTGTCTCTTTGCTTTTTGTTTTGCCAAAAGGTAGATGTGATTAACCCCATTTCACAGATGTTGAAAGTAAGGCTCAGAAAGGTTCCATAACTTGCCAGGATGTGGAGTCAAGTGTGCCTGACTTCCAAGTTGATGCTTTTAACCTTTATGCATGCTGCCTCCCTTACCAAGTATTTTCCTATTCTGAGCTGGCAGTCTGGAAACCACAACACCATGCCCCTCGATTATCACAAATGACTGGCTGAGAACTGGACAAGTGATCAATTACAACGATTCCTGGAAAAAGAATAAAGCGATAACTTATTACAACATTTTTCACATCTTGATTTTGTGACTAGTGATTCCAGAGATAGCGTTTTTTCCTGTCGAAATTAACAAAGATATTCCAAGCAAGCAAGCAAGGATAATGTTTGTTCAAAAAAACTACAATAAATTACCCAACGACATCCAGTCAAAATCCACTAAAACTCATTAAAGGACTAGAAAAGAGAGCAGGGAGAATTCTAGAAAGGATTCCAGTAAAAAATTCTGAAAAGTATTGGAAGGTGGGGTACGTGTAGGTAATCCCTCAGGCAGAAGAGAACATCATATTGGTGGGCCTTTAGGAGAACCGTAAAGGGAACAGAAGTACAAGTGAGGTTCAAAAGAGAATCAACTATCACCATTTCTGATGACTACTTCACAACCTTTGTAAATCTCTGCCTACTTTCAGGACACATAAAAACCTCACTAAACCCCCAGTTTTTATCGCAAAAACAACAGTTTTTGGTTTTCTTTTTCTTTTTTTTTTTTTTTTTTTTTTTTTTTTTTTTTGGTAATTCAAGTATACAATGGTATTATGATACTGACTATATTTTTGCAAGCTGTACATCCTTTCTCCTTGAGATTTTGACATATTTCCCAAGTTACCGGAAGGGTCTTTATCAATAACTTCATAAAGTTTCTAAGAGCACGTGGGGATCTTCATAATAAGCCCTCTTTCTGGCTTTCGTTAGACAAGTGGTCCTCAACTGGGGGCAATTCTGGACAGGGACATTTGGAAAGTCTGGAGACATTTTGATGGTCACATTTGAGGGGTACTGGCATCTAGTAGATATGATGTCAATTAAGCACACACAAAAAATCTTGTCCCTTTGGGTTGGGATTTCATACCAGCAAAGCAGCTCCCTTGCTGAGATCTGAAAGCCTTCAACACAAGGATTTGTATTAAAAACAAAAAACAAAACAAAACACCACACACACACAAAACAAAAAAAACCTCAAACACAAAGTCATGGCTTAGCATCAAGTATGAGGGCACTGACTGAAATCAGCTGAGCAAAGGCAATTCCTTTACCTCCAGAAAGAAAGAAGATCCAACTCTAGCAGGAATGAGCTTT